AAGCAAAGGACTACTAGGTACGAACCCACAACCGCAAACGACGAAAGCGTTCGAGGGGCTGGGCAGAAGATGAAGAGAACCATGGCAAAACGCGGTCTTAAATCATTGAGTGTAGCATTAACAATCCCGGTGATTCTAACACTTACCAACATCTACATGTTTGGTACAAGTGACAACTACAAGTTGTTCAACAGACCGAATTGGGTACCTCCAATATGGGCTTTGCACATGGCTTGTTTGGGCTCAGCTTCCTTATTGGGCCTTTGTGGGTGGCTCGTTTGGGCTGAAGGTGGGTTTCATAAGAACCCGAATACAGCCGGGTTATATTTTGGTCAATTTGGGTTGAGTCTCCTTTGGGATCCCTTGATGTTTAAGCTCGGTGCGAACTGGGCTGGTTTGTTGGTTGCAGTCGGAGTTTGTTATGGTTTGTATCAGTGTTATAGGGCGTTTAAACAAGTGAGCGACATCGCCGCTGATTTAGTTCTGCCGTGCTTGGGATGGTCTGCACTTCTTTGTTTTATAAGCCTTAAGTTTATGCTGAACTAAAATTATTGGTGTAACATGAATCTGTTGTTGAATGTCTGTAGATATAAAGCTCTTTCGCAACCATTTTGATGTCGTTTTAAACGTGTTTCTTCTTATCTTTTTACTTTTCTTTCGCTTTATAGTTACTCGTATTTGCTTATTATGTGAGTTATAATGTTTGTATGTACTAATTATCTTCAAGTTTGATGAAGTTTCTTAATATTACAGAAAAAAGTTTAAATATATTTGGTTGCTGCCTTGCTGCTGTACTAATACAAGAGTTTGAGCAAAGAATTTCAGCATCTGCAAAAAATCGTAAGGAGTACACTGTCCACTAGACAGAAACTAGAGATATAAATCTATTAAATGTTAAAGTTATACACTTTTTGGGCCTTTGAGATGTTCAAAGAATATTTTCAGTTATCTAAGGCGGTCTATTTAAAAATTCATATTGTATTAATAATAAATCTAAATATAGATAAACCAAAGTCTTACGTGTTAATATTGATAAATGAGCGGGATGATAAGCGTAAAACTGATAATGTGAAAGATATCTATTACCAAGACCATCATTATCGACAATCCAATGCTTCAACTGAAGATCAGAGTGTCTTTGCTTGCCTTCAGTGAAGGCCTTTCCATTGCTCGTTAACAAATATGTAAAATGTCAGATACACCAATAAGCTCCTAGAAGTAGTAAATATCTATTTTCCAAACCTAGTCTCATTTTCGAGATCATCACCAATAACATGAGAGAAATCGCGATAACTGGCAGCAAAAAACATATGCCTCTTAAGTCTTAACCCAGAATTGTGACAGACATATAGTTATAAGCTGTGACCTTCAAACAGGGGTAAATAATACTAGGAACCCATCAGTGTACTCTGCATACTGGTTATGATAGGGGTGTACATGACTGGCTTGATCAACACACGTTTGGCGTGTGTAGTGCCTAAACCGGTGTGCAGTAATTCATGCACCCAAGTGGTAAACGCCGGGAGTCCTAGTATGTAATTATTCAACTGCCCAGTGATTCATGTCAGCAGCTCATCAAAAAATACCATTCACATGATCCACTACACAAGTATTATTGTTTACTGCCCATCATAAACCCAATCACCATTAAGGTTAACCATGACACCCTATATTTGAAGACTTTCCATAGAATAAGAAACCATTGCAGAAAGAAAAGGCAAGAAACTAAACATGGATTATGTACTTAGATTTCTGAAAGATGCTAAACATGGATTATATACTCAGATCCCCCGGTAACAAACACCGACAAGATCAGTGTTAATACATCAAATTCACTAGATATTTATCAAGCAACAGCAGCTGAGAAGAGAACCAAAAAAACATGGTACTTATCTCTTTCATGTGATACGAGTATGGTTTCCTAAAAAGGAACAAAAGAATATTATGTACAATCCTAACAAGCACATACACAAACCCTCATACGAAACCTATGATGTCATACACAAACATGAAATAAGAGCTGAGAGATCACAGATAAAAGAGAGGGATGACAAGCCAGCTCAAGATCATGATGCCTTCGTTGCCTCAATCCCCTGCTTATCTTTAACCTCGTCCAGTTTCAGGGTCTCATCTCGTAATTTCTTAACTCTCCTGCTAGCAAGTGACACATGAGAAAATCCATACATTTTCAAGACCTGGTTGTCCCCAAAATTGAACGCTCTCTCCATATGTTTCAAACATCTTTCCACAGGATAATCACTAATCACTCCGCAAGGCTTACAACCCACGAAATGAGTCACCAACGGCCACCTATCATCACCTAAACCCGGATGATGATTCTCAAGCATCTCTTCATATTTATCAACCAAAATCCCCCAATAGCCGTGCAAGTAATACGAATTCTCCAAATAAACCTTCTCACCCCACTTCTCCTTATTCTTTGCCAACAAATAAACCATAGCAGATTGATCATCCGCTTCAAATGGAGGTCGACCCTTCAACTCCTGACTAAGAACCTTCCCCGCCTCAACCCTTGTCTTCCCCTTCGGCCCCATTGGAGCCCACGCGTCAAGAAGGTCCAACGACCATTGACAATTCCGAATCAAAAAACTCCCAGTATTCAACCCAATCCAATTTTTCTGTTCGAAAACCATCTCCTTCCAACCATGCATAATCAAATTATAACCCTCATACCTCTCCCAAGGCAACTCAAATTCCATATCAGTAAACATAGCATCACTATCCATCCACCAAAGATACTCGATTTCGGGGTTACCCAACAACAGAGTCCTCATCAACGGCAATTTCGACCAAAACCCGGACATTTCAGCATCCAACAATGCCATATTATAGAAAATCTCAATCCCATGTAACCTACAATAATCAATCTTATTCTTTAATTATCGACTTCAACAAGTAATAATCACCTACAGGACTCTTACAAGGTTTCGGAGACGAACCAGTTACTAACAAAACCCTAGGCTTCTTCTTCTCCCCAATAAAATTGGGCATTTCTGGGTGTTCTTTCAACCAATTCTCTCTCCTCCCATCCCAATCAACAACTTTAAGACCCAATTTATACGGCAATAATCCAGAAGACGAAGATAATTCAACATCAACACCAGTATCATCATCATAATAAAACTTCTTGTAATCAAAATTAGCGTAATTAAACGAATTCGAATTCGAAGGAGACGATGATTTTACCTCTTCAAGAAGATGATGAGGTTCAGTAAGCTTACGAGATGAGAAATGGTTGCGAATTTCGAGGAAATCTTGCTCTGGAGTTCCGAATTTTCCGGCCCCAATTGTGCCGCGAAGAACGATGATGGTGAGAAGAAGGTAGAGGAAGGTGACATTACAATGGCGGAAGAATCTGTAGAGCTGCCTAGCTTTGCGAACTCCTAAGCACTTCTCTAACATTTTTGGAGATTAATAGCGGAAATTCAAGGAATTAGGGAAGCCATTAATGGCGGCAATTGAGAAAATTGGGGATTTTTAAAGGTGAATTAAGAACCCTAGGACAGAGAAGAGAGGAGAGACCGAGAGAGAGAGTGTTGGGAAGAGTGTCAGTGTTTTTGGATGGGGAATTTTTGTGTTGTTATTACAATCTGTAAGAATCATTACTATTTTAGAGGTGATTAACAATTTAACATGGGTCTGGCCCAATTTGGTTTGAAAATAGGGCGGGTTTGGATAAGTTTAAAACATTTTTTAGTTAGTGCTGAAAGTGGGAAGAGGTCCAGAGATGATGTAGGGGATGAAACCCCTACGGATGGTTTTTCAACTGGTAAAGAGAAAGCAGTAGCTACAGAAAGTGGTTCGTCTGACCTTGGCGAACGAATGAAGGAATTCGCTACAATTCGCGAAAGGGAGGCCATTTTGAAGGAAGAGAGGATCAAAATTGAAAAGGATAAGGAACAGAGGAAACGGGAGGAATTTGACATTTATAAGATGAGAACCATGTTTGATATGCTGCAAACTCTGAAGAATTCACCTACGCCACTCACTCCTCAAGAAGAGGCGTACAAGAATTTTTTTACTGGGTAAATTACAAGGCTTTTAAGCATGTAATTGTAGTAGGTCTACGCTACTCAAGTTTTTAATTATGCGCAGTGTAGACTATTATTTTTAACTTGTATTAGTGGTGTGTTTAATTTCAATGTCAGATGTAAACTTGTATTCTGATTTTCCAATATTGAATGACAAGTTGTTTAACAAGTTGATTTCAGTTGTCATTGTTACCGACATAATTGCATTCAGTTGTTGTCATTGGGTAGTCACTTTTTTCTGAATTCACTTTGTCGGAATGTTTTAACTTTGGGTCATTGATACAGACATAATTGCAATCAGTCTTTGTCATTGTGTAGTCACATTTTTCTGAATTTACTTTGTTAGAATGCTTTAACTTTGGGTCATTGATACCGACATAATTGCAATTAGTCTTTGGCATTGTGTAGTCACATTTTTCTGAATTCACTTTGTCAGAATGCTTTAACTTTGGTTCATTGATACCGACATAATTGCACTCAAGATTTGTCATTGTCAACTAGCATAATATACCTATTCTATGGCTGAAAATTTGATTCCTTTAGTTGGTGTGGTCATTCAGATTTGTAACCACATATTCATTTGATATATTTGCTATATATAGTAGGCATGACACATATCCACAACCATACCAATTCAGAAACTTACAATATTAATACAAGATGTATTCCAGACCATCATCAAGATCAAGTTCAAGTTCATCTTCTTCAAATACTGAAGAATATGATCAACTCGTTGATGAACTCTTCACATACCAACCCCCAACTTTCCTCATGCCCCAAACACAATCCCAACCCACTACAAAAACACTTAGAGGGGGTACGAATAGAAGAGATAGGGAAATGGGACATGCCAGGCTGTTTAATGATTATTTTTTCGATAATCCTGTGTACAACACCACCCAATTTAGAAGAAGATTTCATATGCAATGACCTTTGTTTTTATGTATAATGAACAAGGTTGTTGAAGGTGATGTTTACTTCCAACAGCGTAGGGATGCAGCTGGAAGGTTAGGCTTATCACCTCTGCAAAAATGTACAGCCGCGATAAGAATGTTAGCCTACGACATGGCTGCAGACGCCGTGGATGAATACGTTCGAATCAGTCAGTCAACCGCTCGAGTTGCCCTTCAACGTTTTTGTGCTAGGGTCATTGATCAGTTCGGAACCGAGTACCTGCGAAACCCTACAACTGATGATTTGGCCCGGATACTGCATCAAAATGAACTGCGTGGTTTTCCAGGCATGATAGGCAGCATTGATTGAATGCATTGGGAATGGAAGAACCGTCCAATGGCTTGGAAAGCGCAGTACGCCAGTAGGAACAAGAAAGCAACGCTAATACTGGAAGCCGTTGCGGATCAGGATTTATGGATATGACATTCCTTCTTTGGTATTCCCGGATCTTGTAATGATCTTAATGTGTTGTACCGTTCACCAGTGTTCGATGAGGTTCTGCATGGTCGAGCTCCTCCGGTAAATTTTACAGTTAACGACCATGAATACAACATGGCTTATTACTTAGCCGACGACATTTATCCGAAGTGTGCAACTTTTATTCAGGGTATCATATACCCTCAACTTCAGAAGGATAAAATGTTCGCTGACCACCAGGCTGCTGCTCGGAAGGACGTTGAAAGAGCTTTCGGTGTTTTGCAAGCTCGATTTGCAATGATACGAAAACCGTCACTGGCGTACGATGAGGACATACTGCGGGACATAATGAAAGCATGTATCATTATGCACAACATGATTGTTGAAGATGAGCGCCACAACTACACTCGAGCCGAAGTTCTAAGAAGCTTCTACGAAGAAGATCAACAAGAATTAACACCAGCATCAGCGTCTACAACGCCACCATTTGGATTCAACGTAGGCCGACCTACCAACTTTGACTTTAACTCATTTCTACAACGAAAAGCTTCCCTCCGTGATAGAGAAATTCATCTATCTCTGAAACGTGATTTAGTTGAACATATTTGGTTACAATACGGGCCAAATAATTAGGGAAAAATTAGCACGACTTAAATAAAGGCCAAGTACTATGGCCCACCTACTTTTTCGTTCGCAGTCGGGTTATGTTTTAATTGTTTTATTTATTTTATTCCCTAAGTTTAATTACGCATGACGTTGCAATGTAATTGGTTTCTAGTACTGTATCGCTTTTTAAAATAAATAGAAACATTTACGAAATTTTGAGCGTTTTTTTACAATTATTTCATCTAAGGTACATAATTTAACGACAAATTTTAACGATAAAAACGACACAAATAAAAAAAATAAGTTACACAAATTTAGACTTGTTTTTATTTATTTGGAGTAATATTGTTAAAATGTAAAGGAAATTATTAAATAAAGAAGTGTTGTGTAGGAGAGAGAAAGTAATGGTGGGGTATTGAAAAATTAAGAGAGAGAAAGTGGTGGGCAAGCATTTTTTTGCTCACCATTGGGAGAAAAATTGTGAAAAAAATTTGTCCATGGACAAGACTGATTTGTTGAGAGAGAAAGTGGATAGAGAGATAGTGGACAAGCATTTTTTTTGCTCACCATTGGAAGTGGTCTTGCAATCTGTAAGAATCATTACATTATTTTAGAGGTGATTAACAATTTAATATGGGTCTGGCCCAATTTGGCTTGAAAATAGGGCATGTTTGGATAAGTTTAAAACATTTTTTAGTTAATAATTCAAATCCGTTGATAAAAGTCCGCTACATTTTCCGAGTTCGAGCATGAGATATAATGTTAAGGCTAAACCTGGTCCGACTTTTTGATCACCTTTTTTTTTAAAAAAAAAAAGAAATAAGTTGTTGAACAACTTATTTATTTGGATGGTTGCATTAATTAATTGATTAAGGTAATCAGCGTTAGTGTACTTTATATAAGTTAAATGAAGGTGCTACACAAACATATTACATAATACATGGAGTAATTTAGTGGAGGTTATGAGGTACACATGGTGGAATTAAAGAAAACGGGTTAGTGTCAAATATTGTACTACTCATACAAGTATCTTATGTATTTGACATCCTCGATTTCGAATTACTATTAACGTTAGACATTGCATAAAGTTTAATAAAAGATTGAATTTTATGATATAAGTATAGCTAGCAGATATTTAACTGTTAGTGCCCTTAGTGGGAGAGATAAATAATACAGTACTCGTTAGAAAAATAATTTAAGTGAGGTAGCTGAGAGAGAAATAAAATATATGTGTATATATTAGGTTATGTTAAGTTAGCAATCTTATTTTGTTAGATTTGTATACATGTATTTTATACATAACCTAATAGTTTATACAAGTTCACCTTATTTAAATATCTTATTTTAAATATTTTATTAGATTTGTATACAAGTATATTTTTTTTAATTTAGTTTTATATTTATTTTCATTGCAAAAATTAAAGATATAAAATGTACCGATAAAGATCTCACATAAAACAAGTAAGCATGTTTATAACTTATTTAGTCTAATCTAATAAAAATTAATTATATGATTTTGAAATAAGGTGAACTAAACATAATCTTAACAAGTCCTTTTTAAATAAGCAATGTTGCAACTATAATTAAGAGAGAGAGAGAGAGAGAGAGAGAGAGAGAGAGAGAGAGAGAGAGAGAGAGAGAGAGAGAGAGAGAAGAGAGAGAGAGAGAGAGAGAGAGAGAGAGAGAGAGAGAGAGAGAGATTTAAACAATATTACATGCTCATAATATTAATAATATATAATAAGATACATCACGTCTTGTGTGTGGCTGGCCACAGCGTGTGGCCATTTATAAAAGAACAAAGTAACCCCCATAACATTGATCAAGTAACCCTTATAATTCTGACCGAGTAACCCCGATAACACTGACTGAGAAATCCTATAACACTGACGAAGTAATAACTCCTTTAAAACTGACCAAGTAACCTCAATTACACTAACGAAGTAACCCCTATTATGGCTGGCCAACCACATATAAAAATTTGTGAATAAGATATATACTTGATAACCAATTAATCACGCTAGTAATTTAATAAAACTCAAACTCTATTACAATAATATTTATCTATTACCTTCCTATATTACAATAATAGTTATCTATTACAATAATATTTATACATCACTCGTATCAAACCTTGAGTGATAAAAATAATGCATTGACAAGCGTGAATGGAAAAGTGTTACATTTAAAAAAAAATAAAAACAGATGAGGATCAAAAGTATTAATTAAACAAATACAACTCAGATACGAGTCAAACGCTAGTAATTGACTAATTTCCAAATAATCCACCACGGTTCACTGGCATAGACGAAGGTGAAAATTATTGATGAAATTAAGCAATAATTAAACACATCCTACACCTATTTTGCAAATCCTCTAATCAATATATCAAAATATATATATAATCCCTTCGTTTGATAAAATATAATACTATAAGAACATTCTAATAAAACATAGACAATCTTGAACTAATGAAAATTCAAGAAACTAGTACTTAATTATCATGATAAACCAACCAATCCTTGTAACAACACCTCTCATTCTCGCTTCCATCCGTATGATTATTTTCGTAACGACATCCATGACATTCTTGGCGGCTTTGATTAATAACCATATCCTTTTGCTCTTTCTTGTTGTTCTTCAAGGGTGCATTAGAATCTTGATGCAAACTACCCAAACACTTTGCCTCGTCGTTCTTGCTTTCATCCGTACAACTATTTTCGTAACTTTCTTGAAATTCCTGGCCACTTTGATCAACCACATTCTTTTCCACTTCTTTTTTCTTAAAGGCGGCATCATCAAGTCTGGAGACAAAGCTACTTGTATTAATCGTATTTCTGAAATTCTCTAATAACATAGTAAAGTTTGTGTAAGGACAGACGATTTTATCCTCAAGACCATTAATGTAGTAACGCTTAACGTGGTTGTCTACGACAACTTGAGACGTATTGCATGGAAAGTACAAACTGTGATCACACGACCATGAAGTTCATGACTCTTCCAAGTTCCGATTATAGGGAAATTTCGGTTAAAGATCATCAATCTTTGGTTGAATTTTGACACGATCAGATGAAGCCATTGTTTTGTTTAAGGTTAAGCTTAAGAGAAAAGAATAATATGGATGTAGGTGAATTGTAGGTGTTAAATGAACGTTTATTCATGATATGCATGGGTATTTATAATATGCTTTGGGTTTCATACAAGATTAAGGATTTAACATAATTTGATATTCTATCATCATAGATTAATTAAGTTTAGGTGAGTGATTTTTGTACCAAGTCTCTTATCAAATACGGATGAAATACAAAATATCAACTAACTAACTAACCTTATTCTATTTCTAATATGCTTAAAAAATTTCGACATGAAAATTTATCTTTTAGTTGTAGATCAAGATAATATACTTTCTTAACGATGCAAATTATCTGTATCAACAAGTGCATGAAATTAAATCTACTTCTACACTCCTATAATATAAAGTACATAATATCTACTCGGGTATTATTACTATATAAGCAATTGGTGAAAATATGTATTATATTATTGGTCCAAACAATGTGTAGGGTGGTTGTATGTAATTTGAGGTTTAGGGGGACTCAATGAGGTGGTTCTTAGGCTATGTTAATCTTTGTTTAAGCAAATCTACGCCACATTATTTACTAGAAAATATATTTCCATATTCAATATTTCATAATTATTATATATTCCGTATATAATATATAAAATAGGAATAAACAAAGAAAAACGTATTTTGGCTAGACCTAAAAAATATTCGAATTAAGAAATAGGATTTTTGACAAACTATGGATAAATCCAAGCGATCCCTTATTAAATCCAAGCGATCTTAAGCATTCGCCCCCAATTCAATCGGGAATTGAATTGATTATAGAAACCTGAGTTTAATTGATCGATTTATTAGTAAACAATGGGAATTGAATTGATTATAGAAACCTGAGTTTAATTGATCGATTTATTAGTAAACAATGAAAAGTTTTATCTAGGCAAGTGAATAGATTGACCTTGAAACAACAACTACTCCGTATTAATTACTACAAGCTCGTATTTTTTCCTTGTTATCTTTTCTTAACAATGAAAAACTGTTCGGAAGAATTGAGTCAACTACTAGAACTGCTAGTTTTCATACCAAAAACAAATGGAAAATAGATTTATTCCTTATTTAATTGATAATGCAATTGAATAAAAATTGAAATCTGAACTCAAGCACAAATTGGGGTTTTATTCTAAAAAATTCAGATCTTTCAAAAAAAAAAAAAAAAAAAAAAAAAAACCTACTATGATAAAATCTATAATTTATTTGTGTTAGCAAATCCCTAACTGTTTTTGATTCTGTAATAAAAATTTCATATTTAAAAAGTAAACATTAATACATAATTATTTTTTTTGGGAATAGTAACAGTAATTATGAATCTAATGGCAATATGGCATCTCACTTGTCAAAAGTTTAAGTTCTGTATTGGTGTCTATAAAAGGTCAAAAGCTCATTATCAACCCTCTGAATCAAAGTTTCACATTATCAATCTGTGAGTTATATGTTCATTATCATTACAAAAAATGGTGCCCAATGAATTTTGGACAACTTTTTTACAGACATGGCATTCCAAATGCTCAATATAATCTCGGTACGAATAATGAGGAACAAAACAGCTTGCAATCTAACGTTCATTCTGCAGCCTCTGAGCTGATGGCAAACATGGCTGAATTATTCAGAAAAACAGAGCTTCCTTAGAGTTATGGAAGTCCTCCTTTTCTGGTCTATATCTTGTCCTTGCCAAACCTGAAATTCCGGTTTTCGATTTATCTCATGCTTCCAATGATAGCGAGCATCCTCCCACATGATAACTAAAGACCCTGGGGTCAGGTATACAGGAATTTTCGTAGCTAATGGAACTTCTCCATTCCCTGGTGAAAAGTGCATGACACAGGACGACTCCAAGGAGACTATAGCTATCCCGTCTTCAAATCGCATCAGATCAACATGAGCTCAGATACCCTGTATGATTCTTAAA